GGCCGCCAAATTGATACTCGTGACTTTTAAACATTTTGTGGTCGGGAAGTATTCCATTTGAATACTTTTATCCATATAACCGAAGTGCTGCCCTGGAATTAAGATTTGCCTCACCATATATTAAAAGCATATCAACTTTTTCTTGATGTGATACCATGATGCCTTAATTAATTTTATCTACGCCAGTGAGATAAGAACTTCTTATCCCACTCATTTTGAGTGAGATAAGAAGTTCATTAACGCACGCGTTTTTCTCTGTTTTTAACCAATCAAATAAAAAAGTCAAAATGTCAAAATAACCCTAAATTAAGTCTTAGACAAAAATAATTACCGTTTATTTTTTCATTTAGAGGCGTAGATAAAAATTTGTACAATATACGTGTGATAACGCTTTATTAACGTACTTTTGCGATTGCCCAACTCGTGCTACGCACTCGTTGGGCAAATTTCGCATGCGTACGTTAATAAAGCTCTTATCCCACTTATATCGTAAATATATTTATAGTTATAACTATTAAAAATAAGAAAAAAAGTAATTAACAAACTTTGTTACAAGTTTCAACTAATTGTTTGACACTTTATTTTAAATACTATTTTTTCTACTCCCACCTTTAAAACGCCCTGTATCGTACATGTTTCCATAACACTAAGTGACTTTTTAAATACACATTGACAAGTTGTGGCTTTAAGCGCTTTAGTCACGGGCTGAAGTTAGCAACAGGTTTTTAGTCACGGGCTGAAGTTAGTTGACAGTTGTCAAATGTCATACAATCGTTAAAATAAAGTGCCTTTCTTGTAAAATAATACTAAATGTGAAAATTATTTTATTAACCTAATACAAAAATACAAAAATATTAAATAGTTTCTCAACGCCAATATTTGAAAAGTTTATATGAACATTGTACTGACCTTTTAATTTCGCCGGCAGTAAACTATAACTTAAATTCGGGCACGGACTCTACTGTAAAGTCCTCATAAAACATTTCCTTTACTTTCACCGTGAAAAACTGTCAATTTTCAAAATAAATTTCGATTTATAACCTTTATAATTGTGTTTATAAAATGTAAAAATGTGACATTTGACAGTTTCCCCTGTTGTTTCATAGATGGTGCTCTATACAAATTTTTGATTTAAATCATTTTAAGATAATAATAAGTATTTGTCGTAGAAAAAGTATAGTATGCATCTCTTTTATAAACTTTTCTATACAATCATGAAGTTAAGCCAAAATTAAATTCGCGTATAAATTGGCGTTTGTCAAACTTGATACATAATATACTATTGTTTTATAGAGTAACGTCAAAAAGGCATGGCAATCTAGATCATAATAATTTTACATTGGCATGCATGAATTTGTCTAATAAAATTGTAATAAAACTATAATAGATAGAACTTTTTTTTTCTTGAAATATCTTTCCAACCTTGGGAAAAAAATATGCTCGTGAAAAAATACTTACTTAGCGTCGCCAACATTTTTTATTTATTTTTTTTGCTAAATTTACTTTTCAAAGCTCCTAATTTAGGAATAACTAACAGTATTTTTTCTTAATGTCACCATTTTTTCACAATAAGGTTGGGGCGTCGATTTTGGGACATCCTGTACATTATGAACCACCAAGCATACATTTCACTGCCGAAGCGATAGCCGAGGCCGTAGATTGTGTGCGAGGAGGCAATTTATTTCGCTTTCACCGCCTTGTTTTTTTACTATTTTTTTCAAGCATTTAATTAAATAATTCTGTCACATCATTCTTAGATTGGGTTCAACTCAACTTTATTTCTGTACGGAGTTTAATAATAATTTGACTTTTGAACTAGTATTAATATGAAGTCTTCCTATATAGTCTTATGAAATATGAAAATTCAAATTAATCATAACTTCTTGTAAATAATTTGTGGATTGGCTGCCTTCTATTCAGGAACAACTCTGTTAAAATTTTCTTGTGCGTAAATATACATATCCCGAATTTCTTTAATTAAAGTTTATCGAGGCATTAAAATTTTAAACATAAATTATATCCATTGGCGGATTTAGGCATGGGCAATAGAGGCTACTGCTCAGGGCGGCAAAGTTTTGGGCGTGTATATCTATAGATCCTTGGTCGATACAAATTTTTTGATGTAATGCAGTGAGCATACATAAAAAATACAATTAAATGAAACAAGAGGTCTAAGAGTCTAGTGGTGTGAGGTCTGGGGATCTTGGAGGCCAATTAATAGGACCACCACTACAAGCACGATGAAGCCCCTGCACATTTCGCCCGTCACGTTAAGCAACATTTGGACGAAAGATTTCCAGGGCGTAGTGGTCCTATTAATTGGCCTCCAAGATCCCCAGACCTCACACTACTAGACTATTGTTTATGGGGCTGGTTTAAAAATGAGGTTTATAAAGTAAAAGTGGACACTCGTGATGCCCTAATTCGATATGAGTTTTTTTACATTATTTTCATGTGTATAATACACTCCTAAAGTTTGGTCCGTTCCTCCCGACTCACCCTGTATAATTATATCGATCTGACTTTTAAAAAAATCGATTAATTTACTTCTTTTACTTTTACTATCTTAAAATCGTTAGGAGAAACCATTTTTGAGATAATCGCATTGAAATGCGTTTTAAAGTAAAAGAAGTAAACCAATCGTTTTTTGTAAAAGTCAGATCTATATACTAAGCTTTATAAAAGTTGTCATCTAAAAGAAACGCGTTATGCCGCGATGCTACAGTTAAAAACAAATATCCTATATTCCTCTCTTAAAAGCACTTTACTTGCCAATGAAAGTCCCATCAAAATCAATTCAGCCGTTTCGGAGATTAGCCCGGACAAACATTTTAACACTTCAATTTTATTTATATGTATAGATTATTACTATGTAGTTCAAGGTTTGGAAACTGCAGTGCACTGGTTGCTAATGAAATTTTCTTTAATACCTATAGGTAGCTAAAATCTGAAGGTAGATTTTAATTTTCAATTCGTAGATTTGCCAAAAGATAAAATTGTGAGAATAATGAAGCAGAACTGCTAAAATTTAAAGAGCAATTTATTTTTTCCGATATCGTCCAAATTGTGGGATGTAATTTTTATAAAGAAAAAACTAAGCGCAAATTATTAACCTCACAGTGAAAAAAAAAACTTTTATTAATTGTACATTTTATTTATCGTTTAATAAATAAAACTTTAACTTTAACTTAATTCATAGATCGATTATAGATAAAATGAATGGTGTTATGGAACAGGGAACCATCCCTCATAATAAAAAAGCGTGATAAATGTATTAACGTAATGAGCCACCTTTTGAAAATATTTTAAAGAAATAGATGCGGAAAAATACTGAATTAAAATATACAAAATAATATGCAATCAAAGTTTTAAGCTGCATGGTTGTGCCAACTTTCCCTTATATATTGAAATTGTGAAAGGTTATACAGCGCCAAGCGGCTTGGTTGACGTTACTTTTGACTAAACGCAATATATAGTATTATTATTATATTATTATTATTATATTTATACTGCAACAAGGATCCATGCTGGTTTAAGTTGAAATGTTGGAAAAAAAATTAACCAGTGGTTTTATATGACAAAATCAATATTTAAAAAAAAAATAAGAGAAGATCAGAAGGATCTCAAAGCTAAAATTAAAAGATTTAAAATCTATTTATCGCCTTATTCCAAATGATGGTTTCCATGTTATAATAAAACAATAGGCAATAACTATCAGTTTTATTTATTCTACAAGGGAACAACCAACAAATTTACTTAATAAATAAGTATTTTATTGAAAATAATGAAAAAAATATAATAAGAAATAAAAATGTAGTACTATATTAGCGATTTGGAAATAAAATAAAAACGTTGAATCTATAATTAAGTCCACAGTAAATGAAGGAACCACGTAATTTTTCGGACGCTATTATCTTAGTTTTGCAACAGTGAGGGTTGGCCCCGTTGCATAACACCATTCAAATGTTGTATGTCATTTGTCCAAGAGGTTTTTTGTACTTCGCCCAATTCTTCGAACTTTGAGCTTAGCAAAAAAGCCTCACTTCTCTTATGACATAAATACCTATTTTTCAAAATGTGCTTAATCATCACCGGCTTAATGTTTTTAAGGCATATTTGGAATGGCAGTGCAATTTTATGTTTATCTGCAAAAAACAGGTAACTGTTTTTTAACCCAATTTTGGTGTGGCAAGGGTTAAATAATTTACCTTAAGGTCAATCGACAATAAAAATATATATAAACATACATAGAGCTAGATAATTTTATCCAGAAAACCTAAGATAATGTGTATTGACACGTCGAAAGCAATTTAAAAAGCAAAAATGAAGAAACCTGCCGAAAGCGAAAATGAAGAAAGCTGCCGACCATACAGAAAAAAATCTAACATAGTACCAAGAACAGCGCTGTCATTGAATGCATTACAATTGAAGCAATCTAAATTGTTATTTGCTCAATTAATTACTATTAAAACAAAATAGGGAAATATTTTGCCTAAATGTCAAAGAATTTATTGCGTTAAATGTATACATAGTATACATACAATAGTAACGTTATTAAATAAATCAAATTAGTATTTAATACAATAACATTCTAACAAATAAATATCAATATGAATATCAATACAAATATATATTTAGGAGCGATAACTTTTGTTGTTCATTTAAAAACAGTAAACGATTATAAACCAAGTGCTAACTACCTATTGGTATTATAGGAACTGTTATTCAGTGCACTACAGTTTACAGCTATTATTATAATAACTGAGCTATAATCTGTGTATTTTTGGAGACACTCGGACTACGGCGGAAAATACTTGGTCTTTTTTTAAAATAGAAATGTTGTTATAATTTAAATCGAAACCAAAACCAAATAATTGATTTTTTTGTGGTTTTGGAGACTTTTTACCTGATATTGTAAATATAATCTTGGAAATCACATACATATTGCCAGATAAAATATTTATACCAATTTTATAACACCTAAAATTAAATTATTTCAGCATTATCTCGTCTACTGTCAAATCTACAGCAATCTAGCAGCGAACTGCCATCGACTGATGAAGAGCTGGGGTTTCTTAGTGACCTCCTGCAGTCCAAGGAACTGCATGCTCTCGTAAACGTCCACAATAAAATCCTAAATAATGGAGCTAGCGAAAAGTTCTTTCCGATACTCTCATGCTCACTGCTCGTTAACCACGACGTTTTGGAAGTACTGGCCAATCGACCTGTCATCACAGATGAGATAAAGGAACTTTTTTATTTGCTGCAAAAACCACATGTCCTGGTAAGTTACTAAATTTTGAAATTTTGTTGGAATTTAATATACCTACGTAAACAGAGTTATGGGTGCCTAACCAAATTATATTTGAAATTTTGAACACTGACTGCTCTGACCAATACATTTTTCGAGTGGCACCTCATTTTTCTCCAAAAAAAGTATTTCTTATCTTAAACCATTTAATAATATTTAATTTAATGCAATTCTATTTATATTCATAAGTTATATGAAGTTTGAACACCGTGCGGATTCCTCGAAGGGGGAACCTCGAACGGTTCGACGGCAAAGCTGTGCCAATTTTATTCAGGCACTATTAACAATAAAGAGATTTTACGAGGATCCTATATGAGCGACGGAGATGGACATCTCAACATTATGTTGTTCCAGACTCAGCTCAGTCGTTTGATTTTACTTTCTTTCGTATACGCGGTTTATATATATACATTGCGTAATTAGATAAATAAAAGAGCACAGTTGTGTGTTGTCAAATTTTGAATTATAAACTTAAAATTAAAATAAGCATCTTTTGGTAGTTTTTCGCTCGAAAAAAACTACAAATTAAAGAATTAGTCTGGCCTATACCCGATTTAAAAATTGAAGTGGAAAAATAATTGCGCTGTCGTAAATTTAATCAAACTATTTATGATAAAAATAATTGGTTGCAAAAAAAATTTTGCTTTCTTAGATTTATACGAGCCGCCACTACATTTTCCATCACTATCATCAGTAAGTATCTCCAGGAATTGTACTTTTTATTGTAAACAGGGTGATTTTAAATTGAGGCAACAAATAATGAAATGCCCACACGGAACAATTACATCCAATGGATTTCCTCTATGGATATCCAGGATATATATACATAGGATATCCGGGATATCCAGTGGATAACCATTGGATATATAAATGTCCGACCCTCCTGGACATAGTGTGGATCTCCAATGGATATCCAGTGGATATAGTATTGTATGCAATAAGGTGGTAATCTGTATTCAATATGGAGATTGTATGGATATCCAATGGATAGGGTATTTAATGCAATATGGTTGTCATCTGTATTGGATATGGTGAATCAATGGATATTAACTTTTCAATAAATAACATTGGGTTTTAAAATAAAAGTCTTATTCTTTAATTTAAATATTTATTTTTACGAAAACATAAAAAAGAACAGAAAACTACATATAACTAAAGAAGTGAAGTCTCTGGCATGCCATCACTCCTCCAGCTGTCATTTGCCTTTTTATCAGCCTAATCATTTAGGGCCTATTTCACCTGCCTCCTTATGATCCCCAAAATTTGGCCAATCCATCAGCCCATTTGTTACCCTCGACCCCAAACTATGAGTCTTATACATACCGATACACCCTATAGAAACATACATTCCAATACAAATATCTATCGGTTTGAACAGGGTCTCTATGGGGTATTTTAAGCAGGGTGGTACCTATACTACAAAGATAAAGAATGTAAACCAGTCATCAACTATAACAGCAATTTCCCTATTCTGTGCCATAAACTTTCGTTCGCGCTTAGCGTTGTGATAAAGGCCGGTGAAACCGGTAAAACACCAAAAATAGATATAGGTATACATTTATAAACCACTTTATAGGTATATACCTATAAATGCATGCATGTATTCACCTTTAATGTTTTACCTTCAATGCTAACCGAAAGTTTATAAATTGCACTTAAATATACCTATTTAATTTAAAATTGTATTAGTTTTAGACCAATACAATTTAAAATGATAACTATGATTAGAAAATTAATAAAATATTCACTTACCACTAGAGACCTCAAACCTTAGAACAAAAAACAACAGGAAGGAGTCTTGTCATTCTTTAGCCGTACTAAAATTACGACGGAAGTCGGCCATTTGCAAGCTCCAAATTATGACACATTTGTGATGCTATATTTGTCAAAATTGAATGTTTTATGTGTTTGTCGGTGTTTTATGTTGTTTTTCTGGTTAAATTAACTTTAAATAAGCGTTTCATTGTTTCTAGACAATATTGTATTTGATATATTCTCGTTTAAGTGTAAATATTTAAAGTTTAAGATATAAATATTAGTGTTTAAGGTGTAAAAACAAATTATGGTTAGTTGTGCAGCTTGTGGTTGCTCCTTGAGCACAAAAATTAAAAATATTCATTTACATTTCATAGGTGAGTATTTTGGTTAACGTTTAATTTATTTACTTATTGTATATTTTAAAATAATTAGTTGTAAATATTAAACATAAATCAATGTCAAATAACGTAACCTTAGAACATAACCATAACCTAAGAACGTCACCATCATAGAAAAAACCATAGGCGTATCATATTTTCTGATACTAACCTAATTATTATAAAAATTAAACTTCAATTGTATTTACTACGCCACTGTCAAACGGAAACAACTATCCGCCATATTGAAGCTCCACTTTGGACCCAAGGTCATTTATTAAATGCTCCTTCCTGTTGTTTTTTGTTCTAAGCCTCAAACAAATAACCACAAAACACAATAACTTGGCAATAAACTTTATGACAAACATATAACAAATAGCAATGATGGCGAATGAACCTTTACAATCTGTGGAATGAAGCAAATAAACATGAAATCCCTTTGCATGTACCTAACAATCATTGCATCATATTAAACGGACGCTACCATAGAAAAAGGTCGCTTCTTTATCTTCCGTGTTCGGCGGCAGTGTTGTCAGACGTTTAAATAATTTCAGAAAGCTCATCAAAATTGCGGTTATATTATTAAATATTTAATACTTAATTAATTAGTATTCCTAGTATACCTATTTGACATAAATGTAATGAATAATTATTTTAAATTTATTTAATTTATTTATTAAAAGTTAATAAAAGTACGGAAATATATTTCGTTTAGTTATTTTGCTTATAACCGGCAACACGGACTTTTTTAAGTAATTTTTTATTGTATTGCAGACTTTCATAGTCATAGTTAATAATATGCATATTATTAACAGAAATAATATCTAGGTAAAGTGAACATTTCAAAATTAAAAATTTCGTAGCTCTTGGCAAAAAATCAATTTACCGTAAAGTTGTTTTTTTGACATATGCTAGTTCTCAATTAAACCATCGCAAAATCCCACATGTATACATACAAGTATATATACAACATATCCATATAAGTTATTCACTGGATATCCAGATTTAAATCATATTTATTAATCATTACATAAATTTATCCTATAAGGGGCTATTTTAAAAAAGAAAAAAATATTTTTAATGTTTTTGTTTTTTTTTGAACATCCAGTATGGATATCCATTGGATATCCAATGGATATCGTAAAAGGCATGGATTTTATATGGACATTGGGATAGCCATTGGATATCCATTGGATAGCGTGTTCTGTGTGGGTGGGTTATTCTCCAAAAGATTTCGTGACGAAAATTTCATATGAAAGTTACTCTCTTTAAATGAATTATTCAAAAATGACTAATTGTCATAGCGAAAAAGCAGTCAATAATAATTTTAGTCAACAGCAATTTGTAGCAGTCAATTTATATCTCAAAAACTGATGTGGACTACAGTTATTAGTGGGTGCTTTTTCGCTTGACAATTACTATTACTTTTTAATATAACTTCTACTCTGGTAGTCTTGGAAACGTGATATTTTGCGAACAGTCGCTTACTACCAAAACACATATTCACACATAATTTCAATTGTTTGAGTGAACACAGTGTCGTAGAAACGGGGGTTGCTTTAAGCTTATTGTCCCATACAAACTTTGAGGTTAGGTTTTTATAACATTTGATACAATTTTTCGATTACACAGTTCGTCTACCATTAAAAAGGTGTACCTCTCAAACTTCGATAAAATAAACCGTTTCCGAGATATTCGAGATTACAATAATTGTTATATCGCATTATTTAAAAGGATTAAAAGGTATATGATAACAAATTTAATTTTTTAATTGAAAAAACTAAAAAACGGCATTCCATGAGCCTTGAGACTTTTTGCCCTGACCGTCACATTAAAAAAATTGTAGTTTTTTCAATTAAAAAATTTGTTATCATATACCTTTTAGTCCTTTAATGCGATATAACAATTATTGTAATCTCGGATATCTCGGAAACGGTTTATTTTATCGAAGTTTGTGAGGTATACCTTTTTAATAGTAGACGAACTGAGTAATCGAAAAAATGCATCAAATGGTATAAAAACCTAACCTCAAAGTTTGTATGGGACAATAAGCTTAAGCAACCCCTGTTTCTACGACACTGCGTTCACTCGAACAATTGTTATTATGTGTGAATATGTATTTTGGTAGTAAGTGACTGTTCTCAAAATATCACCTTTCCACGTCTACCATAGTGGAAGTTATATTAAAAAAACTGATATGATAAGTAAACTTTATCACCCTGTATCTTTTAAGAGATTTTCGTCTTATTTTGACTTGCTTAATCTGCTCCGAAATGTATGCCACTAAGTTTAGGGACACCTTGTATAAATATATATATATATATATAGTCATGTGAAGGAGGGAACGTTCTCGATTATACTCGGAGAAGCTTCGCGAAGATTCTCGAAGCTTCAAATGAATTTGCGCGCACTTTCCTGGCCTAGCATTTTGGAGCACAATCGAGAAGCTTCCCTTGAATATGCTCAAAAATTTTCGCATCTATTGGCTTAGATTTTAGGCCCTAGAATAAAAATCAGTTGGACAATGATTCAATTTACTTCGGTTTGCTTTAAAAAATATTTTGTTTTGTTTTAATAATATATATTATATTATATTATATTTAATAATATATATTATATTATTATTGTTTTAATAATATATATTATATTATATTATATTATATTTAATAATATATATTATATTATATACCGCAGTTTGGGTACATTTTTAGTTATAGGTATTATTTTTTTCAAGTGATATTTTTATTATATTTTCTAGTCTATAAAGTATTTATTACCTATAAATTTCTATTATTTTTAATTTTAGAGTGTTTTTTAACTAATTTGATGAACGAGGTT